TCTAGCAACTTTTTATGCTTAGCTTGCACAGCTTGCTCTATAGCCTACTCTATAATAGCTAGACCTTTTCCTTGAACTTTCCTTCCAAGTGCCGGATTGAGAGAGTTAACATAAGCCTTAATGACTTGAATATCAATGCAATCACATTCAACTACTTGCACTTGCAGAGATACTATTTGAAGTGGCTATTGTACCTATGGATGGACTCTCTAGGCTGCATTTTAAAGGCCTCCAACTCTATCATCACATAGTCCTATGTGAAAATCAGCTAAAAACACTTTAAAAATTGAGTCTTAAAATCCATGACACTTTGCTACTCCACCACCAAAGCAAATCCACCCACTGCAAAGCATTTAGTCCTTGCATTGTGATGAGGAAATACTATGCTTAAAGTAAAGGATTTGTGACATTAAGCATTTGAAGGATCTTTATTTGGTTGATATAGACTCAGCCACCTTGGAACTTTGACAATATCGTGATATTATATGGATCGATTGCTATAGCAGGCTAAAGAGGCATTTGTTGCACTTGATTTCTTAAGATCTAGAACTATTAAAAAATTCAGGCGACAAAAAACTAGTCAATAAGGTCTTTGTTGTGAATAATCAAAGATGTTTCATTATAATAAACATTATGTTGACATTAAGTTTAAACATTTGCAAAGTCTAAAAAGACATTATGTAGTTTTTGCACATAACATAATGCCTCTTCAAGTGGTCTGACTACTTTTAGAGAAATAGGTATTCATCACGATCTTTTATGCGTTTTTTCACACATTGTGAGCTGCGTTCCTGGTTGACAAATTGATGAGGGGCAACAACGTGCCAATGCTTCTAAGCTTAGTAAAAAAGACAAGCTAGACAGTGTGAAGCCGCAGCCAAACAAGCATAGATCATATTAAACTTATATTTGTTTTCTGAGACTCTAGTCTCTTCTTCGTCAAACTTCCTAGTGTTGATTTAACTTAGAAGAGCAAATAAACTGCGCTTTGAAATACATTTTCATCTTCTCTTGGTTGCTCTAGAGGCATCACAAGGCCGACAGAGCTTTCTTCTCTTGTTACCAAACCCTGAGCACGATCGATGCACTTGTTGCCTACAAGAGTAACACACCATGTCTGCTGTTGGTTGGCCGCAGGAGCACATTATGACAACAGATGGTGTCACTGCTACACCGGCAGGTAGTGCTATTGCTGCGACCTTGGCGGATGCTGCTGCTGCATTGGCAGATGGTGCTGGTGGTTGCCAGCGCCGATCCACAAATTCAAGCAACACACTAGCAATTCGCTGTGATGCAACATATGAAGCTACATCCATGAAGCTCCTTGCAATAACATCTACCGGGACATCTGTGCCTTCAAAGTTTTGAATAGTTGGAGGCACATTCGTCATTTCTTCTGGGTGGACAAACCATACAAACTTCCAACTAACTTCATTGGCTGGACTGGTTGTCCATGTTGTCGTAGGAGTTTTTAGAAATGCTTCCAGAGAGGATCGATGAGCAGCATAAGGTCCAACATTGATGTGACCCAACCAGATGGTGTTTTGCCATGTCCAGACGACATGGACCATACCGAAATTCGACTGGTCCCGAAAGTATGCCTTCACCCCTGAGACATTTCCGTCGTCGACAGTCTTGCGGAAACTTTCAAAAGAATACGGGCCATAAGGCACTAATTCTGTCTTCCAGCGCAGCCATCATCACCCTTTCAACCAGCCATTGAATGCGGCTCTTGTTCTTCAGCCGATCCTTCAGAGCATTTGACAATGTATTGCAGAACACCGTCTCTGATTCGCTGAGCAGCTTTCGGCTTTGCAAGCATTGGTAGTACAAGTCCCTTGCATAACTCGATACAGGATGATAAATGCCAGCTCCATCCCGTATAACAAACTGCAAATCGATGTCTCCGTATTGCTTGACGTTTGCCACGCCAGTGCACACGAACTGTGCGTACCTGCTCACGTCCTGACAATAGAGGATGCTCGTCTCCAAGTTTGCGATCATATCGTCACCCCGAAACATCATAACTACTATCTCCCACTGGTCATCACTAAGGGCTATCTGTAGCTGTTGGTCTTCTACAATAGCCATCACACATCTTGCAATCAAAGTAACAAATAGAGGCAGCCTCCCAGTGTAGTATATCAGGTCTTTCTGGCGACCAGGTACCCACAGATTGAGACCCTTGGCTTAAACAAACACATCCATTTCTTGGTCGCTGAAGACGCTGAAAAAGCCAACGGGATCCACCACCTTCTTAATGCCTTCGTTTGTTGCTGTCAAACATTTTAGGAAGCTCATGTGCTTCAGAAGAATATCCATCTCCTGCTGCACATCTGGGAGATGGTGTACCACGTCGTAGGCGTCGAAAACCAAGACTGGCCTGTGACGAATGAGGAAGGCTCCTATTTCCGTCCATTTTCCCATAGCCGATATTGCATCGACCTTGTCTTCCTGGTCGGCATATGCAAGAAGGAGAGCCCTTCTAACGACCTGCAGTGTTCCAACGGTGCTCACAGGGTCCGTGCAAGCGGGAGGGTCAAAGATCGCTACCAAGCGACAGCCTTCCTGTCGTCCCCTGGCATAATGATTGCAAACCGCCATCGCAAGGAGCATCGTCTTACCCGAACCAGCCGTGCCAGTCATGGTGACGTCCCTGTTCTTGGAGCAGCGCTCAATCAAGGACTCGATAAATGCAATGCTAGATCTTCCCATGAACTCACAGGTTTTCATGTAGTCCTTCCCTTGAATCCCTTCTATCATGCTGAGCTCCGCCCGTTTGAGAGTCAGCTCCGGCCAAGGAACATTCGTATGCCACCCGGTCCGGAAATCAGCTTGAGAGCCTAGGAGAAGAGCGTGCAGCTCTTTTGCTTCCGCAGTCTCCTCCGCCTCTACCATTTTTTCCGCTATGTATCAAAATACATTTAGGGTTCTAATGGAGGTTGACGCTAAGCAGCTTCATAGTGCTCTTAGAGGCCGCTACACGGACTTCAGCCGAGGCTGGCACGAAGCTGTCCCATGGCCGGAGCTCCTCGACTCGTGCCCCTCTTTCTGCTGCCTAGGCCGGCCGTCCGTGGCTCTCATTACAGGTATGCTCCGCCGGTGCTTCAAATACGAAGGCTTGGTGCTCACTGGTAGCCTGGGCTCGGGAAAGTCTCACCTTTTAGCCATGGCCGTCTGTGAGCACTACCAAAGCGGCCTCCAGGAGACCCATCGCATCGTCGCGCTCTTATTCCACGACGAGGTGCCCACCAGCCCGCCCGCCGCTCTGGAGCTTGTGATTCGGGCCCTGCTGCTCGCCTACGCGGACGACGAGGGCAGGATGCGGGTGATTCTCGATCTTCGCTGCTGGCGGGACGTGGGATCGTTTTTGATGTTCAACCGCCCGGTCCTCGTGGTTGACCGATGGGAGGAAATAGAGCTTGGCAATGGCGAAGTCCACCGCCGCATGGTGGAGCTGCTATGGATGACAACCTTTCTCAAGTGCGTGAACTGTTCCGGCTCGCGGGCGCGGCACGTGCTTAACAATCCAACCGAGTTCTACAACGTTTTCAGTCCCGACGAGACGCTCCAGTACCTTGGGAAGTGGCTGGACGTCAAGAGAATTGATGAAGAGCTGCTTCGACGGGTGATGTGCCTCACAGGTGGCCTCCCGCTCTTCGTGTGGTACTTTGTGGAATCCATCATGCAAGCCAACAACAAAGGATCCTCATCGTCATTGTCATCCGGCTCACAATTGTTGGACTGGCGAGCAGCAGTGCGTGGGTTCATGCAAAAAGAATGGGTGGCGAAGATGCGGACGACGATTGCCAGCTGCGAGGACACTAGCCGGTTTGCGCGGTTCGTGAGCTTTGGACTGCAGGCAAACACGGGGCACTGCTCCGATATCGACATCCGTTTCCTCGTTCGGGATTCCAAGTGGATGCTTCACCCCGTCTCGGACTACGCCAGGGACATTTACTGGACGTGCCTGCAACGAAGGAACCTGCTGCATAAGTGTGAACCTGTCTTCTGCAATGCTGTGTATGATTCACTGAGGGACGTGCATGGGAATACAGACCGGTTCGAGTGGCTGCTCAAAAAGCTAATCATCGGGGCATTCGAAGATACGCCTTTCTTTCCTCAGCGCTTGACGCGCTCGAGACAATATCAGCCGCTGGAGCTCTTTTGTGACAAGATCGACGGCAGAGTGTCGGGGGTAAAGGCGTACGCTCCAGAAGCAGACACCAGTCTACCGTTAGTAGACTTTGTGGTGAAAAAAGGCAGCTCTCGGGAACCCGGAGAAGAAATAACACTGGGAAGGATATCGGCTGGTTCATATGCTTACGGAAGTGATGATCTTGTTCATAGGTTGCCCGGTGACAATATTTGGACGCCAGCAGCAGCAAAGGCATGCAAGTGGAACTTTGTGTGGATTCTGCTGCCATGGCAGATCCAGGGGTTTACGCCGCGGACGCACTCCTTCCTCGGGGGTGCGATGGAGGAGATTGCGGTGGGCTTGGACGACGTTGCAAAGCACTTGAGAGGGACTTCACATGATCTTGTGTCTAACGTAATCGACGACTATATCTCTGCGGTGAGGCGTACCTTTTCCTCCTCACTATAAACTGAATGCCGCCTTGTTTTACAGATGCGAAGACTGATTTTCTAGCTTTAACAAGTATACTACACATCATATTCAATGTAAAATTTGGCAGCATATGTTTATCATGGATTTTGCATTCTTGATATGATAAGTAATTATTTGTGTTGTGATCCTGCTGTATAGCAAAAGTGAACATCTTGGCATTTACAGTGTTAGTCCAAGAGATATCCTCCACCTTTCAAGATCAAACCAAGAGACTATCTGGACGTAAGCATTATTTTTTTTATATGGCATTGTGAAGTTATCAAAGCTATTCCAAACAAGGACAATTCACAGTGCTGCCCTTGCAGCTCGACTTTTTCACATCTGGTCTGTCTTCGACTACGTAGTTGATCGATACCTCCTCTATCACTTCTTGTCAAAATCTGGCTTTGGTGCCTTGGCATCCAAAGGTTTGTTATTTATCTGGTTGACAGTTAAATCAAGTCGAATACACAGACAGAAACTAGCAAAAAATGGATGCCTATCTACAGCAAAACCTTGAGTATCTGACCTTCGTGACACACGCTTTAAACGTGTCGCTGTTGTACTCAATCCGGATTTTCTCGACTTCCTTGCAGATTGTTCTGAAAGAGGGTCTTTTTCTAGGATCATCGTGCCAGCATTTCTCAATTAAACTACACAAAAGGCATAACTTTGATCACTTCAGGATGCAATCGAAGGGAAAAGCACAAAAAACCGACTTACTCTTTGAGGCCTTCAGGATAGTATCTTGGTTTAATCTTGAAAGGCGGTCTCTTTCCGTCCGCATAGCTCTTAGCAACTTCTTCTTCACCGAGTTTAGGAAATGGAGGAACTCCTTCCATCATCTGGAAGCTCAAAAACTTTAGCTCCTTGAACAAGTAACAAAGCATACCTCTTGGACAATCAATGCAAACGAGAAGACGTCCACTTTGCTGTCATAGTCTTCACAACGATACAGCTCAGGTGCCATGTATCGCCCTAACATAAGTAGAAAAACGACTCACGCCTTCAATGCATCTTTTAAGTTACTCGTACCAGAATCTGGAACAAATTGCCGGTCATTGAATGCATACTTTGTGAATGCGAAGTCCGTGATTTTCAAATGCCCTGCCTTGTCACGCAACAAGTTACTGATACCTTAGTTGGAGTGAGAAATATTAAGATCATGTATCGGAAAGCAAATGGTCGAGACGAACCTGGGCTTCAAGTTGCTGTGAATGACAGGCTCCGGTTTAAACTCATGCACATAGTTCAATCCCCTGCACGAACAGAGCGTATAAGAAAGAAAAGCTGATAACTTAGATCGACAGAATGCTAAGATCACCTCGCAATGTCCAAGGCGAATTTGAGCGCCTTCTTGGGCTTGAGGGGCTTTCCTTTCTTCTTCATGTATGATTGGAGATCTCCCTGCTTTGCGGAAAGAAAATGTTCTCAGAATATCTATCGCCAAATGCAAACGAGTACAAACCTTTGGGAGATGCTCCATCACAAGCATGACGGGAATGCTCTGTGTAACAGCACCCAGAAACTGGACCACATTCGGGTGCCGAAGCTTCAACGCTAGAGAGAGCTCGTTGATAAACTCCTTTCTGAAAAGAGTTGGATCAAAAGCAGTATAAGCAAAGTACAGGGATCTAATACGTACAGCTTGTCATCTCCTGTTTTCGTGTCGATCGAGATGACTTTTACAAAAACTTTGGTTCCTCGCCACTTTCCAATCGTGAAGGAATCCTGCCAACCAAACGCAACGGACTTTAGTCTATAGTTAAAAAATGAGACAAAATACCTCGCTTGACACTGAGAGCTCCTCTCGATCGATTTCATACTCGGGAACACTGTAGGAATTGGAAACTCTCATCGGAGAAGTATCCTGTGAATTCCAATGCAGGTGGTGAGTGAATTCGCGAGAGAAAACGCAAAGAGCAAAAGAACTTACTGCCAATTGCGCACCGTGGGCGAGTAGAATTTGCGACACTTCATCGCATTTATAGTGCTCAGCATCCGCCAGAGGCTGCGATAAAAGCGAACCAAAAAAAGAGTTTCATGACAGGAAAGAAACAAAGAGGAAGAAAAGGACAGTAAGAGCTTACAGTGCTTCCCCATCGATCTCTCGCATTTACATCAGCTCCCTCGGCGATGAGAAGCTCCACAGTCTCTTTCTTCCCCTCGCAAGCCGCCACATGAAGCGCGGTCCTGCTATCGAAATCCGTGCTATTCACATCCATGCCCTTGCCGAGAAGCGCTCTCACTCCAGCCACATCGCCCAGCGAGGCGCTCCACAGCAGCTGGATCACATCGCGCGAGGCATCGTCATCCCCAGCGCCGCACTCCATGTCGCCGCTATCGTCCGCTGTTCTTGACTCGCCGGATCCCTCCGGCGCCATGGACGACTGGCGCCCCAAATATCGGATCACTGCCATGGCGAGCTAGCGAGCTCCTGCGCGGAAGGAATGCCCTGGACTGGATCAATCAAGCACGTTGCCGGTGATACTCACAGATCCGGGAGCCCTGGGAGGGATTCCCTGCTTGACGCGGCGCCACTCACAAAACGAAAACGCGGTCACTTGCCCCCTCCCACGAGCGCTTGCCGCTTTCCACCGTCCACGCAAATCTTTCAATGAAGCTACCGTGCGAATATTCCTACACGTTGCGAATATTTCAGTAATATTCTTTAATTTATTTTCAAAAACCTTAAAGCGACCGAGTTAAAACACCGCCGTCGATCATCTTTAATAATTTACTTTATCCTTTTAAAAACCTAAAAGGAATTTTAAAGTTAGTGTGAGAGCCCTAATCCAGAGCATATGCTCATATTTGAATTTGAATTTTGAATTTTAGGGTATCCTCTTCGGGCTAGAAGATCAAGCATACAACCATAGTGTTGCGGCGATGGGCTAATCCCATAGTCGGCCTTCATGCTCACCAAGTGTTCCCAGCCTTGCTGGAGAAGCCCCGCGTGGCTAAATGCAAACAAGAGGCACGTAAAGCTCACCTCGTCTGGAGCATGACCTTGGAGCTGCATCGATCTGAAAAGCCCCTCGGCATTGCCAAAATGCCCGTTCTGGGCATACGCTGCGACCAACGCTGTGTAGGAGACCAAGTTCCTCTGGCTCTCGATCGCGTCGAAGATCTCCTTGGCCGCTTCCACGCTCCCGCATCGCCCAAACATTCCAATGCTCCCGTTTTGCAGATCCAAGCTCTGATGATCGAGAGTGCTATGCACGGCTTTGGCAATTGCCAGAGATCCCAGGCAAGAACACGCTTCCAGCGCCGCGAGCATCGTGATCTTGTTGGGCGTCACGCCTTCCAGATCCATTTCTCTGAAAATCTCGAGCGCTGGCCTCCCTTGCCCGTTTCGCGCGAATGCCGCCACCATCGCCGTCCACAGCACGACGTCTTTCTTTGAAGAAACTATGCCATCGAATATCTCTCTGGCATCGCCAGCTCTTCCCAGAAGGCCGTACAACTGGATGAGCCCCGTGGCCACGACCACATCGGGCCCATGTACGGCATGGCGGAGCCGCTGGAGTAGCTCCGCCTCCGCGGCGCCGCTGCCCATCACCGCCACGAATGTCACCCTGTTGGGCTTGATCCCCTCGCAATCCATCCGGTGGAAGAGATCCATGGCCTCGCCGACGTGATCGCAGGCCGCGATCGCCGAGTTCCACGACACGATGTCGCCCTCGCCGGCGATTCGATCGAAAACGGCTCTGGCATCGCGCGCGCTCCCGCATTTGCCATAGGCGTTCACGAGAGAATTCGCGATGGCAAGGTCGCGATCGAGCCCCAGCTCCGCGATCAGGGCGTGGATCTCGTGGGCGCGATCCAGAGCGGCCATCGCGGCGCAGGAATCCAGCGCCGCCAGAAACGTGATCTTGTCCGCCCTGGCGCCGCCCTGGATCATCTCCCGAAACAAGGCGATTGCCTCGCGGGGATGCCCATTGCGGGAAAATGCCGCGATCATCATGTTCCACGAGAAAACGTTCTTGAATGGGATCTGATCGAAGCAGGAGCGCGCAAGATCCACGCGGCCGATGTTTCCATACATCTGGACAAGAAGATTTCCCAAGAAACTGTCGCTACCATGGCCGCTCCGGCGGATGTGATCGTGGACGCAAGTGCCCAGGCGGAGATCTTTCCCGCACGACCGGAGAATTGGCGCGTAGATCGCCGAGTCCTTCTTGATGTCCCCGCACACCAGCCCATCCAGCTTCCCCTCCAAATCTCTCGCAAGATCACCTTCTCTTTCTTCTTCATCGTTTAGCTCTCGTTCTTGGCGATCTTGCCTCGATGAAACCTCTTCTTTGTTGATTGATTTCTTCTTCTTGGGCTTTCGATTGGGTCGATCCCCACGAATCTCCTGGCTCTTGCGCTGCTGCTGCTGGTGCCTGTGGATCGGTCGCTTGAGCTGCTGCTGCTGGATCTGGAGCTTGTGCTGGAACTCCTCCTCGCGGAGGATGCGATCAAAGGCCGCCTTGCGATCCGCGGGCAATGGCACCGCAGCCGGACGCCTCAAGGAAATGCCCGGATCCGCAGAGAATGTGGGTGGATTGCCCATGCCCTAGTTCTCCCGAGCATTGTAAACCCTAATTTTTGAACCATCGTTCTCGCGAAGAACCCTAATAGTTTCCCATCGATTGTCTTGAGATCGAGCCGATCGATCAATCGATCTCGAAAGAATTCAAAAAGAATCCCACCTCGATCCCTCGATCAAAAGTTGTCGAATTCATCCACCGGCTGCGCTCCATCCTCGCCCGCCTTGAACAGCTCCAAGTGCTCGATCGCCTTGGGCAAGATCTCGCGCACCGCGGGGATTTGCATGAGCGAGCTCCGCGACGCCGCCTCCATCGCCTTGAGCACGTCCGGCGACTTGAGCGCCGGGTGATCGCCCGCATTGATCGTGAGGTTGCACAGCAGCACCACCGGTTGATACGCCGACTCTGGGAAATACGTAAGCTGGACGAGATGGCTCGCGCCATTCGCCTCGAGGATACTCCTCGAGTGTTGATCCTTGAGATAGTTCTCCGCCACCGTGAACTTGAGCAGCGCCGCCGCCGCCTCCGACGCCACCGTGATCTCCCTCGCGAGCTGGTCCGTGATGGGCTTGACGATGTGCGTCTCCTTGCTTGGAAAGATCCTGGCCAGGCACCCGATGGCTCTCATCGCCGGGATCTGGACGTCGGGATCGTCGGACTGGATCACCTTGAGCAGCTGCTCGATCACCGCTCTCACCGCCGGGGATGTCATCTTGAAGGCCGCCCGCCGGAGCTCCTGGTCGTGCTCCGCCACCGCCGCGATCTCACACACCGCCATCACCGCGTTCTTCTGGACCTCGCCTTCCTTCTCCATGAGCTTGGCGAAGCACAGCAGCGCCCGTGTGTCCGTGATGCTCTTGCAGTTCTTGATGTTGTTGGTGGCCAGCTTCCAGAGCGCTCGCAGCACCTCGGCTCTCATCTGGTAGATCACCTCCGGGTCTTCGTGCTCGCGCTCGCGCTTCTCCCGCAGCGAGGAGCCGTGGTAGTAGGACTTCCCGTTCTCGGAGCTGTGCGTCCGTGCGTGAGAATTCGGAGCTCTCGTCGTCGTCCCCAGCGACGCCACCCGGCCCGAAGGCTTGTCTTCCGAATGCTGCTGCCCGCCACCGCCACCGCCACCTTCCTCGTGCCATGGCTTCCCGGGAGATCCCAAAGACCGGCTCTGCTGCGCCATCCTCGTCTTCACCACCGTGTGCATGCTCGTCTTGGACGTCTCATCGATGGTGTCGTTGATGAGCGCCACCAGCAGCCGGATCCCCTGCGCGTTCCCAAACGCGCTGCGAGCGTCCGTGTCGTGCGAAACAATGGCCGCCATCGCTCGAGCCGCTTGCGTTTGGACTTTCACCGGCGCCACCGAGAGGACGTGGACGAAAGCTTGAATCGCCCCGGCCTTGACGATCTCTTGGGCTCGCTGTTGGTCGCGAGCTAGCTCTCCCAGAGCTTTCGCGGCGTTCTCCTGCCCAGCCGGGGTGCCTTCCTGGAGTAGCTTCATGAGAGGAGGCAGGCCACCCTCGTCGATGATGATCTTCCCATTTCTTTCGTTGTCCTGCGCTAGCGACGCTAGCGTGCTCGCGGCATCAGCCTTGTCTTCCGCAATTCCTGCCTGGACCCGGGCGATTTGCTGCCAGATCATAGCCAGGATGGGATCGTTGGCAGCAATCGGGGGCATTCCACCCAAGTCGTCGCGGCCGGACGAGATCGTGAGCAGCCAGTTGAGATCTTCCGTGGTGCTGAGCAGCAGGCGATTGATCTTCTGGAAATCCGTGGCGGACGTGATGGTGATGACGCGCTTGAGAACGCCGCCCTTCTTACACTTCCTTACCAGCGCCAGCGTCTTCTCCATCGTCTTCTTTGCCTCGTCCATCATCCGCCGGGTAGGATGCTCGTAGAACGCGCCCGCGGGATTCGTGGAGAGCCGCGCGGCCTTGCGGAGCAAAATCCCGATCCTGTCCACTGTGCTGCCAACGTCGCTGCATTCCTGCTTGAACGAATCGGCCTCCTCTATCGCGCGCTTCACCGCCTCGGTCAGCTGGATGGGATGCCGCAAGTAATCTCGCCCTTCCATCCCTCCCGCTCGAGAGAATCCAGATGACCTAGCACCGCATTGGATCTTTCTCGCCGTTGACGCGCAGCCGCAGCGAGATCGCCTGGAATTCCTACAGTAGACCCTGATTCCGTCGCGTCCACGCCGCCGGATCGACAATCACCTGGAAAGATTGGCTCGCGCCTCGCCGATCGAAGCCGCTAAGAAATCGCTATGGCGCGCCCAGAGATCGAAAGGAAGAGACAAGGCGTCCAACGCCACACACCAATGCGCGCACAGAGGGAGGAACTAGTCATCCCTCACAGTCACCTCGTCCTTGGGCGTACGGCAGGTACGGCAAACCCCATGGACATTCCGTGCCAGCTCAGAAACGATATTCCGACCCACATGGCATAGCTCAATCGTCACCGTCTATTTTCATTGAATCTATCTACATAGCGTTCTACTCTTTGTTCTATCCTCCAGAGGTCAGCCTCTATGAACTGGACACACTTATGGATGACGTTGGGCTTGATCTTCGTGATCTTGGAGAAAGCGTAGAGAAGGACGAAGTAATCGCCATATACGTACTTGGTGGATTTCCGTAAGTGGTCCAGCAGTGGAAAAATCGCGTAAGAGTATGCCGCTGCCGATCCAATCCCGTTTGGTAAGCTGCTCGGGACGAGCTTGAAGCCGCAAGCTTGGAGCTCGTGAGAGATGGAGTCGAGGAGCTTGTTCTTGGCCTGCAGGATGCGTCTGAGCTCCCGGTTCTCCGATGTAACTTCCTCCAATTCCACCGCTGCTCCTGGAGTGACGATCTCGCCGAGTTCTTGCTCTTGGAGATCCTTGCTTCGATCGTTGTCAAGTAACTCCCTTGATGATCCCGACTTTTGTTTCTGGATGCTTGGAGCTCTCGACCACGCACCGCTTCCAAGCGTCAGCTCGTCGCTTTCGGAGATGTTACTGTGCTGTGTCGTTGTCACTTCTACCTCTATCTGTTGCTTGGGATCGTCATCACCAGCTTCGCTGATGGGATCCTGAACAAACACGAATTATAAAAAGGACGAAGTACAGTGGAGAATGACATAACTAACAGACTTACTTTCAGCGAGAGCTTCTCGAAACATTCCCAGAAATGATCGTATAGCATTTCTTCGTCAGGGGGGTTTCTCGTCCCCGCGAAAACTTTTTCTTGGCAGTAGTTCAGATAGTCCTTGAGTTCCGCCTCTGCAAAACAAAAACACTCGCGAATGAATGACAATTCCAGAAACCAAAAGAGATCGACGCGTACCCGGTCTTAGAGCGTCCTCCAGCAATTGTTTCTCAATGGTTTCCAGCTGATCCTGAAAATTTGCTCGGCGTGTGCTTGTCACGTCGAGGCGCTCCAAAAAGGCTGGCCAGTACAAGCTGCTCACCGCGTTGCCATATACGTTGTACAGGATCTTGAGCGCCACGATCAACATAGCGGTGACATAGGCAGACGTTGGAAACGCTCGCTTCCGAGCCGAGAGCCAAAGTCCATCCGGAGTATACCACTGGTATAGCCGCTCCAGAATGCCCATAACTTCATCTTTCTCAATCCCCAGTTTCTCCAGTAGACTGAGTGAGATGGCCTGGAAGTTCACCGTAGGTAGCTCGAGTTCCAGACGACTTGCGACGTGAGCGGCCAGCAGCTCGATCATGCTGGCGTTGCTCAAGAACAGTGGCCGGAACAAATTCCTTGGATCGAGCTCGGCGACGTGAATGGCTTTCAAGTCGGGCCCAGAGAAACGCTTGGGTTGCATGCTGAGAAACGCCGTCAAGTAAGGCAGCGATCCTTGCCCGGCCCAAGTCGAGATATCAGTGGCAAGAACAGGCTCGCGGATTACGTAGCACGCCAGGAACACCATCGCCAGAGTGATCCGGAGAGGAAGCCGACGCTTGAGAGAGTCCGTCCATACCCTCGACATCTTCAATCCAGTTTGCGTGAATGGAACTTTGTCGAGTCTTTTGGCTTTCTTCTTTCTCCTGGGCTTAGCGTGCTTGCTCTTGTTGGTGCCACCACCACCATTTTTTGCCTAGAACAACTGAAAGCTTTCTTCCTTCAAACGAAAATTTTGTGAGAAAAGATCGAGAAATGCTTACCTCGATCTTCTCTGGTGCCGGAAGAGTGGAGCTTTCCTTCTTGAGCTTGAGCTTCTTGGCCTTCTCCTTGAGACTCCGGGCATCGGCCAAAAGAATAGCCTCGCTCGCCCATTCTCGTTCAAACACCCGCGTGGAAGCCACGAAGCGCAGCCAGATCGGCCCAACGATGCGGCAGATCAAAGGACTCACCCCGAAATTCTCCACAAGAGACTCGCACTGGAGCTGGATGATCGTCTGCAAGCCCTGGACGTAGTACTCGCGGATGTGCGCGGCGAGGCGATCGGGCAGCTCCGAAACATCATACATCTGCTGCGATCCCGACCAGATGTGGACCTTGTCCGCCGTGACGAATTGCGAGGCGAGAGAATCCCTCATCCTCTCCAGCGCCTCCTCCTCCTCGCCATGCTTCTGCGACATCGCGCGCAGCAGTGCCTCCTCCCTCGCCCTGGCCGCGGCCGGATCGTCGATATTTCGATCCAAATCCCCCGTGCCTCCTCGCAGCATCTCGTTGAGCTTGCGGAGCTGCTCCTCCTGTTCTTGGCGCTCCACATTGTGATGCCGCGCATAGGCGAATGTTCGCCTTCCAGTGGCGTCCTGCCCTAGCGTCCCATCGAAATCCCCCAAATCCTCCTCCATGAAATTCTGGGATTGCGTGCCACAGGCAGTACAGTAGTGGAATCCATCGCCTCCCTTCTGGAGTCCCACGTTGCCGCACGTCTCGCACACGGCCGAATCCATAAACCCTAAATTTCAATTTTAGGGTTCTTCATTCTTTTAGGGATGGAGGAGGACGAGCTCGACGAGCTCTTGGACACAATGCTGGGCCGGAGCGCGAGCGCCATAGAGGTTTGCAGCACCAGCAGCGCATCTCCTTCAAATCCAGGGATCACATTTTCATTTCCCGGCTGGGGAATCGATATGCACACGGATTCCAAGCGCCAGACGGCGGTGGTGAGGCATTTTGGAGGCGATTCCAAGAAATCTTCCTCTGCCAGGGAGAGATCCAAGTCGAGCGGGGCGCCTCTGATCGCTGGGAGCCCTGCTTCCGAAATTCCAGACGAGGTTCTTCTCAAAATCTTTACTTTCTTGGAAGTGACCGACTTATCGGCCTCGCGGCAAGTTTGCAAGCGGTGGTACCTTCTCTGCTCATCGGATTGTCTCTGGGAGAGGTTTCTCACCTTGAAAGCTTCGAGCACCAGCGAATTACCCAGGTATGTTTTCTCCCTTCTCCTTGCTAAAAAAAAAAAATCGTTTTTCTTCCATCTTTTTCCTTCAAGGTGGCTAGAACTCAAGCACAGCATCTCATCGTTCCGGATCAGTGCTCGCTACACATATTCGAGAAGAGGCTACGAGATTTTCATCGAAGCGATCGAGGCATGGTGGCGAGATGGACAACCGCACGGGAAATTCAGCTCGTCGGTGCTCTGTCCATTGATACGCAAAGTCACGCTCTCGGACTGGTGTGTTTTTTACGAGGTTCTAAGCGCTGCGTTTGCAAAGCGTGCAGATACTCTTGCAGTCGAGCTCCAGAAACACTCTCAAAGCGGTGGTCGTAGCCACATTGATCCGTCTCCGTCGTCGACCGAGAGTTTTCACGACGATGGGGTTGCCGGTGTGGAGATTTGGAGCCGCCTTTGCCGCTTCTGGGATCGTTATATCTCATGGATCAAGCTGGTCTCTCTACACTGCGCAGATTTAAACTACGCTGTCCGACTCGAGAGAGTCCGGTAAGTTTGTAGCAACGCTATGGCCTTTTTATCTCATCTCGTTTCGTTGCTGCCGCGCGCCACCGCCACCGAGTACTCACTTGCAGTACTGTGGAGACTCCGACACTATATAGCAAAGGAGTTCTTTGCTTCAGGTTCGAAGCTCTCAATGTTTTTCTTGTTTGTTACAAGTTTTGTGACAAAGTTTTGTGTTTGCAGGAGTCAAGTGATCTTGAGCTATGGATTGCGAAAGCTCTTGCAAGCAGGATTGCTGTGGCTTTCCGCCAGAGAAACGGAAGGCCCGGCTACCGAAGAAGACATCGAATTGCTGTGCTCGTTGCATCATCTTCTACAGGCAAGCTTTTCCTTTTCAGTTCTTCTTGGTATTCACGAGCTCATCAAGAGTTCTATCTCGTTTTCTAGGTGCTTGACGTCTCTGATGACTTCACGCTACCTGCTGATAGCTTCACGCAAGCAAAGTTTAGAAGATGCTTCCTCGACGGTGAATCGTCGCGGGATTTCTCGCGGTCTCAAATTATAGCTGCTAGAATGGAACACTTCTAATCTATTCTGGAACTTTCTTTGACTTGCTAAACAAAGGAATGGATCACAGTTCTAAAGGTATACGGAATATCATGCAAGGGTTTAACCGTCCACGTGGCCTATTTGTGGCCGTTTGCCTTTGGCCCTTTTACAGCCTATAAGGATTTGGGTAGAGTTCGTGGTTAGGGTTTTTGGTGGGGTGATTGATCGGCAGCGACCAATTCCAGCGTCCGGCGCATGCTCTTCCCGATCTGAGGCCAGCATTCGCAATCTCCGCTGAGGTGAGCGCCGCGATCGCGAAAAGAGCTGAGAATTTCGCTGTGGAATGAGCTAGAGATCAAGGGTTAGATGAGTTTCGATCCCGGGAGAGCATCAGAATGTACACCACGGTGGGGCGCTTGAGCAGCTACATCTCACAGGGCGTCTACACAGTCTCGGGGCCATTCCATCCCTTTGGAGGCGCGGTCGATATCGTGGTCGTGGAGCAGCCAGACGGGAGTTTCAAATCCACGCCATGGTATGTCAAGTTTGGAAAATTCCAGGGGGTTCTCAAGCGCAGGGAGAAGACTGTGACGGTGGGTGTCAACGATGTAGATGCGAGCTTTCACATGTATCTGGATCACAAGGGAGAGGCTTACTTCCTCGAGGATGCATCCGACGACGATGAGAAGCAGCCTTTTTCTCCTCCAAGCGGGCCTTCGTCCGGGGACGAGGGGCATGAATTGGCTCTCGAGTATCACAAGTTGGTGGATCAAGGGATTGGCGGGGATGGAAACGATTCGGCGAGCGATGTAGAGGAAGTAGTGGTTTTGAATTCCAGCGAGACCAGTAGTGATAGTTTAGGCGGGGTGGCGAAGCCTCATGAAGATGGAGCTCGGACGAATTTACTCGGGCTCCAGGAGGAGGCTTTGGGGATTGCCTCGTCGGGGGCGACGACGACGACGACACCAGCGGCGGCTCTTTTTGCAAACACCGCGCTGATGGCGATTGAGAGAGTCGCGGGGAAGCCGGTGGAAAATGGAGAGGTGCATGCCTCTTCTCCCGACGTTTTGGAAGTTGACCAAGCTGAGAAGAAGGAAGTGCATGCCGAGAATGGAGAAGTTCCTTCTCCCGACGTTTTGGAAGTTGATCAAGCTGAGAAGAAGGAAGGGGATGCCGAGAATGGAGAAGTTTCTTCTCCCGATGTTTTGGAGGTTGATCAAGCTGAGAAGAAGGGAGGGCATGCCGAGAATGGAGAGGTTTCTTCTCCTGACGTTTTGGAAGTTGATCAATCTGAGAAGAAGGAAGGGCATGCTGAGAATGGAGAAGTTTCTTCTCCCGACGTTTTGGAAGTTGATCAAGCTGAGGCGAAGGAAGGGCATGCCGAGAATGGAGAAGTTTCCTCTCCCGACGTTTTGGAAGTTGATCAAGCTGAGGCGAAGGAAGGGCATGCCGAGAATGGAGAAGTTTCCTCTCCCGACGTTTTGGAAGTTGATCAAGCTGAGAAGAAGGAAGAGCAGATATCTGTGACGTCGCTGAGCTCGAGGAACGGCGACTACGTGATGAATTCTTACGAGGTCACGCGGGCTGTTGATAGGAGCTACATCATAACAGGAACTTCAAAGGAAGAGGTGCAAAAGAAAGCTATGGAGTTGGAGAAAGAGGTGGCTGGGTTAGATATGAAGCTTGTCAGTGAGGAAGGTTCGCCTCACTCCGAGGCCCTGAGTGAAGGGATTCGGAAGGATGGTGAAGCGAGCGTGGTGGAGGTAACCAATTCCGTTCAAGACATTGCGGGGACCTTGATATCTGAGGTGCCCGATGTGCAGGAGATTGCATCGAAGGAAGAAGTGATATCCGAGTTACCCGATGAGCAGGAGATTGCGTCGACTACTTCCAAGGAAAAAGTGATATCCGATGAGCAGGAGATTGCATCGACTACTTTCAAGGATAAAGTAATATCTGAGGTACCCGATGAGCAGGAGATTGCATCGACTACTTTCAAGGGAGCAGTGCAGGAAGCCACCGACTTGGCGACAAGCTCGGATAAGAGTTTGACCGGCTTTGAGGGGAGCTCGTCGTCTAAGGTCTTGGAGGAACAGGAAAACGCATCGACTGATGTGATACCTGTTAATGTGACCGAGGTAGCAGAAGAACAGGTTGTCAGCTCGAATGGGGCCGGAACTGAAGACGAGAAGAAAAGCTCGCCGGATAAAGTGGAGACCACGTCGATAGACGCGATCATTACCGAGCCTTCCGATGATGAAGCTGGGGAGTTAAAGCAAAAGGATGGTGTGTTGGACAAGGCCCGCATTGAACAGGAAACTCCATCGGCCGATGCGACTGCTGCGGCAGAAGCAGCGGGATCAGCAGCAGGAGCACAGAAGCTGAAAGCAGCGCTTGATAGCAATGTTGAGAGACGAACTTGGGGGTGGTGGGTCTGGGGGGGTGGCTCTTCGAAGCCAAAGCTGGACTCTACCACCTCCAAGGGCAAAGCTGACGAGGGAGAGGTGGTGGCCGTTACAGGAAAAGAAAGTATTGTAAACAGTAAGGTAGACCTTTCCAGCGCCGAAGTTGTACTCATGAGCGTCGATGGCCACGTGGTGGTGGCCGAGCACGACGAAACCCCACAAAAGCAAGTACAGCTTCAGGAGATTCAATCAGCTCCTGTTCAAGTCCTCGAGAAGCAGATGCTGCAAGTGAGCGAGAGCACCAGCTTGAAGGCTGGTCCGGAGTCGGCGATTGAGATCTCAGAGCAGAAGATTGTCGCGACGGAAGCAGCGTTGCACAACTCGATTGCTACTGGGCTCATAAGAAACGGCTACTGGACCTCTTGGAAGCTCACGTCTAATAAGACGCTCATTCCCACTTCCGAGCAGCTGGCGTCGCTCAAATTGAAACCGGGCAGAAACAAGATAACATTCACGTTTACCACTCGTGTTCTCGGCAAGCAACAGGTAGGTAGTGGTGTTTTGCTCCTGCTCGTTTCTTACTGATGTTTTTTTCTGGCTTGTCTGGTTCAGGTGGATGCTCGCATTTACTTGTGGAAATGGAACACTAAAGTTGTAATATCGGACGTGGATGGGACTATTACAAAGTAAGTCTTGTCTTTGATACCACGGCTAGAAACCTGGTGATTTTTGGCTGCAGGTCCGATGTGCTTGGGCAGGTCATGCCTTTGGTCGGCAGGGACTGGACACAAACGGGAGTTACACGTCTTTTCTCGGCCATTAAGGTTTGTATCAATCCTGTGGATTTTCCTACGAGTTTCTTATGAGAATATCGCTGCAGGATAATGGCTACGAGCTTATATTTCTTAGCGCGAGAGCCATTTCACAGGCATACCTCACACGGCAGTTTTTGGTGAACTTAAAACAGGTACGAGAAGAAGCATTTTTATTTGATTATCCCGGCGCTAATTGTCTGTTTTGAGGTTTGTAGGATGGCGAGGCCCTTCCAGATGGACCAGTAGTCATCTCTCCTGACGGCTTGTTTCCTTCACTCTATAGAGAAGGTATTGTTGTCTTGCTTTTAGTGCTAACGATTGCTGGCGCTTCTCCTCTCGTGTACAGTTATACGCCGAGCTCCTCACGAGTTCAAAATTGGATGCCTTGAGGTTAGTCTTTCACTTTTGCTTTTCAATATGTACTGATGCATGCTCCTTTACTCTCAGGATATTAGAGCTTTGTTTCCCCCCGAATGTCAACCGTTTTATGCGGGATTCGGTAACAGGGACACGGACGAAATTAGCTATTTGAAAGTTGGGATACCGAAGGGGAAGATTTTCATTATAAATCCCAAGGTACGGGAACCTCCCATCGTCTTTTCCTTGATCTCAACTCTGCGTTTCAGGGGGAAGTAATTGTAAATAACATCTTGGACCTGAAGTCGTACACCTCGCTTCACAAGCTCGTGAATGATATGTTCCCTCCCGTAAATTTGACGGAGCGGGTAAGCTGATTTAACGCTTCTTCTGTTAAGGCGCCATCTCATGGATGTGTTTCCTGTTTGTGCAGGAGGATTTCAATTCTTGGAACTTTTGGAAGATGCCACTTCCGGATGTTGACGACCTTTGAAGGAGAAAATATTTTTTGTGAGGTACCTTGACCGGGACCCCATTTTCGCCCTCGGAAGTTGTTTGTACAGTAGAATGCACACAGATAGAAACCGCCGGCATTCGGCGGTCCGGGAGCTGTAGAAATCACGAGAAATATTCAGAGGGGCCAATAACCCAGTCACGACTGGGCTACCTACAGTATTCATCAGTAAGACGTTGCTTTCATTCTTATTTTTCTTATTTGTTTGATCGATCTTATAGTGTACAGAGTATCTTATCTGTGAGCTTTAAGCAGATGTTTGTTTATAAGTTTTTGATCGATCAGAGGGGAGATCTATGCGGAACTCCTTTCCTTCTCTTGGCACTCCTGGAGGAGCACCTCCTGGGGGGTGTTTGTGGTGAGATGGAATTGATACTGTTGACAGTTTCTTTTGGTTCGTCCTCAGCAGCAGCAGCAGCAACAGCCATTGGTGACGACATTGAATTGTTAGAAACAGTGCTGCCGTCTGGCGAAAGTTCGTCGTCCTCTTCGATGCTGTTCTGGAGAAGAAGTTGCTGCTCGTGTTCCTGTTCATCACGAGCGGAAGGCAATCTGGTAAGTGGTCTTTTACTGGAGGAGCTCCTCGTTTTTCTCTTTTGGCCTTGAGCCGTGGTCGCTTGTCTTTGCTGTTGTTGGCTCGCTTGCGGCTTGCTAACAATGTCGTTTGCGCTTTTGTAGTGCCTCTGGATCCACTCCAACTAGAAGCAAAGGCGGGGAGAGCATCAGCGGAATAACCGATGAGATGAAGAACAGGGAAACGTAGTACCTTGCAGCCGAGCGAGCAAAACTTGAAGGTATCGAGCAAGCTTCGATCGCAAATCTCACATGTGTTTGTGACTCCCTTTGCGTGGCGTGGCTGCGGCCGCTGGTTGAGGAAGACAACGCGAGCGCTGTTGATAATGTAGGATTGGACACCGCTCAAGTCGAGACACTTTTGGATCTCCGACACGCGAATTACGTCGTGGTACGATGACCTCCGGATCTGCATGGCAGCGAAAAGAAGCAAAAAAAAAGAGGAGAGAGTTTTGATCGCGAGCTTTATAAAGTTTGCAAAGAAAGAAGCAAGGAAACGAAGAAACGCTGTGCAACAAAGCTATGGAAGAACTGAAACGAAGCTATGGAAGAATTGAAAAGCAAAGAAGCGATGTAACGAAGCTATGGAAGAATTGAAGGGATTAGAAGGAAAGATTGATCATGGCTTGTTCCAATTGGAATCAAGATGAGAGCTCTTCACTTTGTTCGTTTATCAGCACTCATCATCTCATTGTTTTGATCGCGCGATCAAAAAGGGAATTTTGGAATTCCGGAACTCAAATCGTGGTTGGGAGTGAAATTGCGATCAATGCAGGCTGTTCTATGTGCGCTAAGCAGCGGCGAGAAAACCCACGAGCGCGATTTTGCTAAGCAAATCCCAGGATCACGTAAAAAGCACCAAGAACACCAAGAACAGGGGGAGGACACGTTTCTGGGCATTCAAATGGAGGGAGGAGGAATTTTCTTACCTGGACGATTCGGTGAGCTCGATGGTAGGACGTGCAAGCGGAGCAGAGTGGATTCTTGGCGCAGTCGAGGCAGAAGAGATTGCACTCGCATTTGCTCGATTCGGCGGAGCTGTGGATCGAGCAGGGCTCGAAGAAGGCCGCTTGGAGCAGTGGTTTGAGCCAAGCCGGACCCATCAAATCGCTGGGCGCTACAGCAACGCTGCCCATTGCTGTCAATCCCCTGGAGAAAAAAAAAAACACAAGGAAATTTCTTAGAAAATGATCAATCGATCACAAAACGATGAGATCGTCGAGGGAGTAGACCAAAGAAGAAGGAAAATTCCAAGCAAAGAGAAGCGCCATCGATTTGATCCTCACGTTTTTTTGTTCCTTGACAAGAAGAGTGTGATCGTTTCCTTTTTCAAGGGGCGATTCGCGCGCTAGTACGCATTGCAATCGGATCTCCGGAGCTCCTCGCCAAGAAGCCGCGATGAGAAGAAAAAAGAATTCGCGCGACCGCGCAAGAATTTATACGCAAAAACAAGACGGGCGATCGAAGCGATTCGAATTCCAGCGATCAGAAACGATGGATCGATCGATCGACGGGGAAAGAAGAGGAAGAAGAAAGGGAAGAGAAGAAGGCAAACATTTGAGAACAAGATTGATAGAAATTAATATCACACAAGACACACCCACACAGCACACACATTACATGTTGCCTTGCATCAAGGCCGGCTTGGGGCCGCCGATGCCGTCCATTCGCTTCATCCGACGGCCGCCAACGCCTCGGAATTGCCACCGCGCTTCCCTTCCTCAGAAACACCGTTGGATTCTAGCGGCCATCCGACGGCCCACAGCGAAGAGACCGCCTGGCCGTCCGATGCCGCATCCGACGGCTGGCGATCAACAAGACGCGCGCGTTTGAATGAACGCCCGTTTGGCTTCGTCTTCTTTGTCCATAAGCTCTTTTCGTTTTCCCTAACCCTAAATACAGAGTAAGCGATCGCATTCCCAGGGAATTCTCGATCGATCGACCTTTTTGACGGAACATGCTTATATTAGATTCTATTAGGGCTGATAAAACTTGGAGAATATACAAAGCATCTTTTATTTTAGGGTTTTGTCCCCCGCGAGCGAGGGAGGGCATTCTTGGAGCCATGGCGGCGGCGGCGCCTCTGGATTTTCGATTCCTCGACGAGGGGCTAGGCGGCGCCAAGAACAAGAAGCGCAAGCGCGATGCAGATCAGGCGGCGATGGATGTGGAGGAGCAGCGGCAGGAGGAGAAGCGGCAGGCGATGGATGAGGGAGATTCCAGGCCCGTCTACGGTAAGCCGAGCTATGACGGCGTGATCGCGGGGAAGGTGTCGGGGCGCAAGTGGAAGGAGGTGAAGACGTGCCGCGCGTCGGCGCTGCGGGTGAGCGTCAAGGGCAGCAGCCTGGAGGAGCGCGCCAAGGCCAAGCGCATCGCGGCGGAGTTCCGGGAGCGCAAGCAGCAGCTCAAGGAGCAAATCCGGGCCAACAAGGTGGAGAAGCGAAAGAGGCTGGAGGAGTACAAGAAGAGGAAGGAGGAAAACGTGAAGAAGTCGGGGTTGAAGCTCCAGAAGGTGACCAACCTCAAGAAACTCCAGAAAATGTCCAAGAAGGAAAAGAAGAAATTGGTGACCGTGGCAGAGTAGTAGTTTGGTGGCACAGCACGGCAATTAAAGGTGGCAGTGTGTCGCTGAAGAGCACAGATCTGGCAGCTGCGAATCGCGAGATCTGCGAGAGAAAGTAAGTGCTAGACTCGATTGTTAGATCGATCGATAGTTTAAATTTTTTTCTCCTGTTTTTTGTCGCTTTAATTCCTTGCTGTTGGCTGAGAAGGACCAGAGATTATCGCCGGGCTCTTCTCTCAGACCGATCAGGGAAAAAGAAAGCAGAGAAAGAAAAAACAATTCTAGCGGACGTTGCAGTAGATGGAAGGCCCAGCTACTCATTCAAGTGAGCTACAGTGGTGTTGATTTCCTCAACGTTTACGAACAGCTCTTCTCCACTCGCTACTTGACTTTCGGCCTGCTCGATTTGGCTCGGCTCGGCTGCTTTAAAGGTTCCTACTGGTTTCCTTGGACTGTTTCGGATTGGATTGGATTGGACGGACGGACATCCACTCCCTAGAGTGTTGGAACCCGAGAGCAAGTCGAGAACGTTGGACAAGCAAGAAACCTTACATCCGGTTAGAAGCAAGCAGGAAAGCAACGAGGCAACGAGAGACAAATTCGTCAACTTTTCATTAGATGTACACAGTAATTAGCAGCCAGCAGCAGCAGCCGCCACAGCAGTGGCAGCAGCAGCAGCAGCACAGGGAAGAAGGAAAAAAAACTAGAAGAGCTGGATGATGTCGAAAAAAATGGACGAACCGGCAAGAGACCTCGGAAACTTTGAACGTCCCTCGCCGCGTTCTGAGAAAAAGGAAGAAGCTGAAAAGAAACAAGGAACAGGAAGTGTGTGCTCGCTCGCTCGCTCGTTTGATCGGGCTAGCGAGTTAGCGTAGCTCAAAAACTGGGCGTTCCGGACCAGCCATCGACACACTTCAACAAGGGAGCAACAAGCTTCCCCTGGCAGATGGCATCGTAGACTTTGGTGAAGTCCTCGCCTGGCGTTCCACTCTTGGTCCCCATGAGCAGCGCAGTTCCAGCACCTTTCCTCACAAACTCATACAGCGGCGCCGAGGCACAGTCGAAGATCCGGTTTGGCAGCACCGCGTTACCGCTCTCGTACGCCTCCCTGGCCGCCGGGACCTCGACACTCAACGCCGCCTTGAGCTCCTCCTCGAACAGCCCGATCTTGTGCAACACCGAGGAGCTCGTCTCCTTCTCGTCCCCGATGTTCTTCAGGGCGTGCTCGACGAGAACCTGGCGGAGCTTCTGCATGAGCGGGTATCCAGCGCTGGCCGGATCATCGATGTAGGTGAAGACGTGCTGGTTGTCCACCACGGACAGGAGCTCCTTCTCGCAGAAGCGCGACGGCAGCAGCGCTCCGGCAGCCCCGGTGGTGAGCGTCTTCTTAACGGCGTGAGAGACGGTCTGCTTCACGGTGGCTTGCAAGTTCTCCTCGAGGTGGCGGAGGTCGATGGCCTGGCACAGCGCCACCAGATACGTCGAAGACATGAGCTTGAGGATGTCGAGAGCCTCGACGGTCTTGCGAGCGGAGACGAGGCCGAGAGAGTTCACGTCCTGGTTGTGCTGCTCGGCGCTCTGGACGTGGGTGGTGACCGGGTTGGCCAGGTACTGGAGCTCCGAGGTGTACGAGGCCATGGCGATCTCGGCACCTTTGAAACCATAGTCCAAGCTCGGGTTGGATCCGCCGCTCAAGTTGGAAGGCAGGCCGTTGTTGTAGAAGTCATTGACGAGCTCCGAGAACTGCGCGAACATGAGCTTCCCGATGGCCGCCACCGCCAGGCGCAAGTTATCCATGGACACACCGATGGGCGTCCCCTGGAAGTTGCCGCCGTGGAGGGCCTTGTCGCGAGCAACGTCGATGATCGGGTTGTCATTCACGGAGTTGATCTCGCGCTGGATGGAGTGAGTGGCGTGGCGGATGACTTCGATCTGGGGGCCGAGCCACTGCGGGGAGGTGCGCAGCGCGTAGCGGTCCTGCTTGGGCTTCTTGAGGGGGTCGGTCTCGTGGAGCTTGGCGGCGGCCTTCATGTAGGAGCTCCCGGCGAGGACGTGCTCCATGATGGCGGCGGCCTCGATCTGGCCGGGGTGGTGCTTGAGCTTGTGCGTCAGCGGATCCGTGAACTCCGGCTTGCCTTGCATCGCCTCGCAGAACATCGCGGACAGGATCTCGGCCAGGAGCGCCAGGACGTTGGCGTCGAAGCAGGCGATGGAGGCCACCGCCGCGCCAACTGCTGTGCCGTTGACGATGGCGAGGCCTTCCTTGGGCTGGAGCTCGAACGGCTGCTCCACGCCGACGAGCTTGAGCGCCTCGGCGCTGGTGACGACCTTCCCATCCGGCAAGACGGCGCGCGCGTTGGATCGGCCGGTGAGCAGCCCGGCAATGTAGCTGAGAGGAACGAGATCGCCCGAGGCAGTGATCGTCCCGCGGAGTGGGATCCGCGCCACGATGCCCGAGTTGACGAGCTTCTCCATGGCGGACAGTATCTCCCACCGGATGCCCGAGTAGCCCTGGAGGAGCGTGTTGGTGCGCACCAGCATCGCGGCGCGCGCGAAGGCCAGCGGGAGAACGTTGGTCGAATCGTCCTCGCTGAAGATCCCGGCGTTGAGGAAGCGGATGAGCTCGCGCTGGAGCTCCACGCCCTGGTTGGTCCGGCGGTGGGAGGTGGCGCCGAATCCAGTCGTGACGCCGTAGGTGTCGGTCCCCTTCATCGCATTGTCGAGCACCCAGTTGGAGCTCTCGTCCACCCTCTTCTTGGCAGCGGCGGAATCCAAGCGTACCTGGGCTGCGGCGCCGCGCTTGGCCACCGCCGCCACCTGGGCGATGGTGAGCGTGGTGCCCTCGATCGGGAAGCTGGGCTTGGCGGCGCCGTAGACGGTGTGGACCATCTCGCGGACCTCCTCGAGGTGGCTACCAGACATCGCCGCCGCGGCCTTCTTCCAGCTGAGGGGATCGGAGGTGTCGTAGCGCGGAGTGGAATTGGGGAGGCAGAGCGTGGGATCTGGCGACACCCGGACGAGCGGCGAGTAGGAGGAGGTTGTGTCGCTGCCGTTGGCCACCATTTTCGCTTCTTCCCTGTGAGCTTCTCCTGGATCGATCGATTGAGGGAGGATTTGTCTAGCTCCTGCAGCAGGGGAGGAATGAAAAGCCCAAATTGAGAGCGCCGCTAAATCGAGCTCCTGCCAATGCACAAGACGAGGATGCGTGCAATCGATTGCCCGGCCTTGCCCTGTTCTCCGATCGTATCGCCCCTCTTTGCTCGGATCAAATCGAATGTTTGCGCTCTTCTTTGTGTGTTCTTCCTCTTCTTTTGTGCGTTGGAAAAAGAGAGAAGAGAGAACACTGATCTATGCCAGCGTTTGAACTACCCTTTATACCCGCGCTGCCGCCCTCGGATGAGGGCCCATCCGACGGCTGCACGGTTATGGGCATGGGCATGGCCATGGCCATGATGGCATGACGTGGCAGACCGGATGCTCTAAGAATATTCCGGGCCGCGTGGGCGAATGGTCACCAACCTACGGCGGAGATGACCGGGCAGTCAAGCAAGCGCTGCGCGCCGCGCGTTCGATGCGGTCCATGCTGGGCACTTCCACTGCTAGTTCGCTGTAGGGAAATAAAACACATGGGCCAGTCAACGGTAGAACCCGCACCACTTCCGTACGAGCTGTGGGAATTGTTTTATTGGGTTTAGAGCCTAAATTAGCATTACCACCTTATCAAAGTAGCATTTAAGGAATTATGCAAACAATGGTAAAATGCACCTTTTGAAGAAGAGTATAAAGTAAAAGCAAATGAGATTTAAATATGGTGGTGTGAAGGTGGTATAAGTTATGTACCGTAACTTGAGTCTTAATTGAGGTGGGGGGAAGTTAGGATATTCTAATGGGGACATCCCTATCTACCAACCGCGGCGTCCAGGTGGACGGCCGGATTGTCAAGCCCGCGTGGCGGACGGGTGGATGGACTTGACCCGCCGGCAAAGCCCTACCTGCCGGTCAATGCGTGGCATGGGGGGCATGGGGGCATGGGGCCATGGGGGGCATGCTGGGTCATGGTGACGTGGAGCCCTAAAAGGTCGATGCGAGGTGACGTGGGCAAAGCACCACCTTTGTATGTGTTGTATGATTCTCTTCCACGTCGCCCTGTTAATATCTTTTTTCTCGACTTTCTTGTGTGTGTGTGTGTGTGTGTGTGCGTGGGGTTGTTACGTGCTGCGTACAGAGACCAGCCATCTCCCCAGTTTTTTGTTTGCCCTAGAGTTATTTCTCTCTCCCCTCGCGTCGCTCCAGTCCAGGGGAATCTGCAACACACCACATGCCCAGGTTGGCGAAATCGATTCCGACACGATCCTTCTCGAGCGGCTCGAAACTTTCCGCGAACCCTAAGCTCCTAACCATTGGTCGTGATTTTCAGATCCAGCTAACCCTGCAAGAAGACATTAAATAGCAAGGCACGAAGGCAACACGGTACGGGAGGCAAACGCCAGAAACCTTACAAAAAGAGCGATTATTACGATCGATGTGGCCAAAATTGAACACGACTCTCGATCCAACGGACAGTCGAAAGAGGGTAACGTGAACAACGTGGGATGCCTCTCATGCACACATTCTTCTCGTTGTCTCGTTTGTCCGGCTGTATCGCCCATCTCATCACTCTAGATCAGTCAGGGCCGTAAATCAAGTGAAAGGTAGCGCAACAAAGAAAACCTCGTTGATCTACTTGTCGAACCCTTAGAAAAATCATACATAGACTTTAATAGTATAAATTCGTTGAAAGTGGATGTTCACTTGTTTGACCGGTCAGCCTCTCGTGCAGGGAATTCGCAGACTTGGGTAGATAGATAGATGGATAGATAGACGCAGGACTTCGTAAGAGATTAACGGATTTGCGTGGCAATCTTTTTGCCCGGAGACAACAACAAGAGTGGTGTGGGCGCACCCAAGAAAGCTTTGCTCTCCTTTTCTGGGTTTTCTGCCTTTATCAGCAAAAGGAATGGTAAACGTTTAAAAAAAAAAAAGACGCTATTTGTGTGTGTCTCTTTCAAGTGGCATTTGTTTTACACGACACACTAGAAAGTGAAATCTTGTGCTGTGCTGATGATAGCCCACACCATCTTTTATGAATCCACCCCAAAGCAAAAATCTAGATAGTGACAATCAAGTGCAGGATACCTACCCTTCAAGGGCGTCCTGTGGAATCTAACAACCTCCGCAGACGATTCGTCAGGCTCAAGATTGTGATTCGGCGGTAAAAAGCATAGTAAATCCTCCACCAGCTTTTCAAAGGACATAATACCGGCACTGGGAATCTTGTCCCGTCAAACGTAGGTCTTTGATTCCATGCCAGATCAGAGCCTAGCATCCTGGAATTCCTTGCTGGCAAACATGGCATCTTGTTCCTCTTTCGACGACACAAAGATGGTGTTTGACTCCATGAAGAGAAGGAATCTTTTCTCTTGGACGGTGATGCTAACGGGCTATGCCAGAACTGGGGATCTGGAGGGCATGAACGCTTTATTTGGTGCTATGCCCGAGAGGAATCTCGTGTCGTGGACGGTCGCGATTAGTGGGTTTGGTTCCAAGGGCAAGATCCAGCAAGCAAAGAGTCTGTTTGACTCGATGCTAGAGTGGAATCTCGTCGCCATAAATGGGCATTTCTCCAGAAGGAAGGCTATCTCGCGAGCTTACGCTCAGGAATCAACGATGGTAGCGGCATTTGGCCAGGATCCTCTTCTTCTGGGCGAAACGAGAGATCTCTTTGATCGCATGCCGGAGCACAACATTGTGTCATGGCCAGTGATGCCGACGTCATACGGTCGCGCTGGACACGTCACTCAAGCACAGGGCATCTTTCATCAAATGCCTGGACGAGACCTGGCAGCGTGGAATGCCATGCTGGCAGCATTTCCAAGATGGGCAAATCTTACACGTAATTAACTTGTTTGGGCAAATGCCTGTATATGACGAAGGATCCATGTCAGTCATGGTAGACACGCTGGCACGGTATGGGAAGCTTGAGGAAGCAAAATAAATATTTGATCAAGTCCGCGGCTGGTGCATCTCCGCTTGGACGTCGATGAGTTTTGCATATACCTCGTTCGGGTATTTTGAAGAAGCAGAGTTATACAATGCCCATAGCCCAAAACGCGTTTATATCATCTTTAGCACTTAATCGTAAACTTTCTAGTGAAGTTGGTGTTTTCTACAGGGCTAACCAGAGAACATAACAACTTGGAACACCGTTCTTTCTGCATTTGCCCGTGATGGGCATCTGCAAAAATCTGAAAACATTTTCCGATCGATGCCGGAGCGCGATCTCGTGAGCTGGAATTCAGTGCTGGCGGCATATGCGGGGCAAGGTAAGCCAGCCCAAGCGATCGGATTCTTCTACAAGCTTCAGCAGCAGTGGATCCCGAGCGCAATCAGCGTTGTTTGCTTCTTGGTTGCCTGCAGCCGGGCGGGGAACTGCGCACTGGGCATCTCTTGCTTCAGATCCATGACACGCGACTTCGGATTGGAGGCAACCAAGCTGGGCACTACAGCTGCGTGATCGATCTCCTGTGCCGGGCAGTCGTTTTGGCGAATGCCCAAGCCGTGATTGCTGAAATGCCCAGTGTTCCTGATCTTGTCGATTGGTGCTCGCGTTTTGTTCCAGTGACAAAAGCGTTGAACAAGGAAGAGTGTGTGCCATGTCTGTTCTGGAGATGGAACCAAACAACGCTGCTGCTTACGTCTCGTTGTCACAAACATTGATCTAAACTCCCGCCAAGATTTAAACTTTGGGCTGACGTGGCGCTCATTTATTGGTGGAAGGAACCCTAGAAAGGGATCACTGGAATTCGCGGCCGGATGTGCGCAAGATCCCAGGAGCAGCAAGGAGAAGGAGCAAGAACTCCTTCCTCCATGGCCGTCAACAATGCATTGCTGGAAAAGGTGTTGTCGTCATCGCCATCGTCTTCTTCGTCGGCTTCCGGTGGTGGTGGGAATGACGGTGGAAGGGACTCCGGGGAAAGCTCCGGGGGCATGATTCCTGTGGAGCCACCGTCACCTCCCATTCCACCAGACACCCACGTCACGCGCTCACTCAAGAAATCGTCCAAGCACAACTCTGGATCGAGCTACTCGCTGGGTGACACGAGCCAGAGATGGGGTGGTTCCAATCTCGGGAGGAATTTGCCTTCTCTTCGTGAGATCTGCGAGGAGCTTGACAAGTTCGTCATCGGCCAGGAACGAGCCAAAAAGGTGTGTGTTCTTGCTTTTATCTTACGTTTAGTTGTTCTTCTCATCCAGGTGTTGTCTGTGGCAGTCTATAATCACTACAAACGGATTTACTTTGAGAGTTTAAGAAATGAAGCTGCCAAAGCCGCTTCTATGGGAGAGTACACAATATTTTTTCTATTCCTATACCAACAAGTGCTTGCATTGTTTTTCAGATCAGAGGAATTGCGTAGAGTTGAATGCCAATGCGTCCGGAGACGATGAAGAGCAACGTGCTGTTCCTCGGTCCTACTGGCTCTGGTACCGATGGTTTACGCAAGATTCCATGCAAGCTCATCTTGATTTTTTGCAGGGAAGACATTGTTAGCTAAGTGCTTGGCAAGTTTGTGAATGTTCCCTTCATAATTGCAGATGCTACGACGCTCACACAGGCAAGATTCAATTAACAAATTTTCTAAGATGCAAGTAAGGAAATTTTGTTTGAGCTTGCTTCATTTATAAAGTATTGGCTCCTTCTTAGGCTGGATATGTTGGAGAAGACGTGGAACCTATCCTTCATAAACTTCTTGTGGTATGTTTGGGGTACTATTCCACCAAACCTGGTTGTAAGCTCTTTGTCTTTCAGTAGGCGGCCGAGTTCAACGTAAATGCAGCTCAGCCTACATTGACGAAGTCGACAAAATTACCAAAAAGGTACGATCAAAATCCATTTTTCTTTCTTTCTATCGGCCTGACTTTTCTCCAGTGCAGTCAGAAAGCCTCAACATTGGAAGATGAGCGGTGAAGGTGTTCAACAAGCACTGCTCAAAATTTTGGAAGGAACTGTAAGGAGCTGAAATACTATTCTCATTGCAAAGACTTCTTGGGTAATCAATTCGTTCAGTGAGTGTGTACAGATTGTTAACGTCCCTGAGAAAGGAGCTAGGAAGCATCCTCGTAGCGATCACACCCAGGTTTGCTGTGGGGTTCTATCTTTCAGCTTTGATTTATTTAACCATGCCTACTTTCAGATTGATATTTCAGATTGATACGAAAGAAATCCTTTTTATATTGCGGGGATCTGGAGAAAACGATTGCAGAGAGGTTAGTGGTTGCAAAGACTTTAGTTATCGTTTTTATCTAAAGCAATATCCCAGGAGACAAGATTCGTCTATCGGTTTTGGGGCACCAGTGCGAGCCAATATAAGAAACAACGGTGGTACAACCAGTGCCACGGTTGCTTCATCTTTGCTTGAAAAGGTTTGGTCCACTTTACGGCTTTAAAATTTAGGGATGTCTCTTTTTCCTCTTAAGCAGGTCGAGAGCAGTGACCTTATTTCATATGCTAGAGTTTATTGGACGCTTTCCAGTGATTGTGAAGCCTTTCAGCTTTGAACAAGGATCAACTTGTCCAGGTTAATTAAATGACTTATACTTTACAGCCTGCGCCTAAGAATGCATTGGGCAAACAAAGAGATGTCTCAAAATTTTGTTCAAAAGAAGTGTGCTCGCTCGCTGGCCCGCTCGTTTGATCGAGAGCTAGCGAGTTAGCGCAGCTTAAAACTGGGTGTTTCGGACTAGCGATCGAGACAATTCAACAAGGAAGCAACAAGCTTGCCCTGGCAGATGGCATCGTAGACTTTGGTAAAGTCCTCGCCGGGCGTTCCACTCTTGGTCCCCATGAGCAGCGCAGTCCCGGCACCTTTCCTCACAAACTCATACAGCGGCGCCGAGGCACAGTCGAAGATCCGGTTTGGCAGCACCGCGTTACCGCTCTCGTACGCCTCCCTGGCCGCCAGGACCTCGACACTCAACGCCGCCTTGAGCTCCTCCTCGAACAGCCCGATCTTGTGCAACACCGAGGAGCTCGTCTCCTTCTCGTCCCCGACGTTCTTCAAGGCGTGCTCGACGAGAACCTGGCGGAGCTTCTGCATGACAGGGCATCCTTCATCAAATGCCTGGACGAGACCTGACAGCGTGGAATGCCATGCTGGCAGCATGCAATTAACACGTAATTAACTTGTTTGGGCAAATGCCTGTGCATGACGTTGGATCCATGTCAGTCATGGTAGACACGCTGGCAGGAAGCTTGAGGAAGCAAAGGAAATATTTGATCAAGTCCAGGGAACTGCGCACTGGGCATCTCTTGCTTCAGATCGATGGGATGGGACTTCGGATTGGAGGCAACCAAGCAGCACTACAGCTGCGTGATCGATCTCCTGTGCCGGGCAGTCGTTTTGGCGAATGCCCAAGCCGTGATTGCTGAAATGCCCACCGTTCCTGATCTTGTAGATTGGCATTGCATGCTCGCCTCGTTGTCACAAACATTGCGCCAAAATTTAAAATTAGGGCTTAAAATTTTAAAAGGCCCTAACGTGCAATTATTGGCGGCGGGACTAGCACCGAGGCGATAGCGCGGCGCCTGGGCCTTGGTTCCTGGTAGGCGATTCGCGGCAATGCAACACCAAAACCCTCACCCCCTCGCTCAAATCGCTGCTCCGGTTTTGTGAGGGCAAGAGCACGCACTGCCGATCGCTGCCATGGCAGATGCTGTCTGGAAGCCTCATAATTTCCAGCCGGGGCAAGAATCTAAGCGGCCATTCGACGCCGGCGATCTTGATCAAGCGCAGGAATTTCGAGAGTGGGAGTAGCAGCGGCGATTCCTCATCGTCGATCAAAACGGAGACGCGGTGCCCGTCGTGCAATGCCAAGATCGCGGTTCCTGCCTCGTCCGGATCCTCATCGTCGGCAACGTATCTCCACGATATCTTCGGCAAGCGCGGCTACTCCTTCGAGCAGGCTTGCCCTCACTGCAGGGCGATGTGTTCCATCGGGCCACTGGAATTCGCGGCCGGATGTGCGCAAGATCCCAGGAGCAGCAAGGAGAAGGAGCAAGAACAATCTTCTCCTCCTCGTCCTTCCTCCTCTATGGACGATCAGCTCCGCGGCTGGGTAAGGAAGATGATCAACAATGCATTGCTGGAGAAGGTGTCGTCGTCATCGCCATCGTCTTCTTCTTCGTCGGCTTCCAGTGGTGGTGGGAATGATTCCTGTGGAGCCACCGTCACCTCCCATTCCACCAGACACCCACGTCACGCGCTCACACAAAAAATCGTCCAAGCACAACTCTGGGTCGAGCTGGGTGGCACGAGCCGGAGCTGGGGTGGTTCCAATCTCGGGAGGAATTTGCCTTCTCCTCGTGAGATCTGCGAGGAGCTTGACAAGTTCATCATCGGCCAGGAACGAGCCAAAAAGGTGTGATAGTGCTCGTGTTCTTGCTTTTATCTTACCTTTTGGTTGTTCTTCTCTTCCAGGTGTTGTCTGTGGCAGTCTATAATCACTACAAACGGATTTACTTTGAGAGTTTAAGAATTTCTTAAACTCTCAAAGTAAATCCGTTTGTAGTGATTCAAATGAAGCTGCCAAAGCCGTTGTTATGGGAGAGTACGCAACATTTTTTCTATTCCTATACCAACAAGTGCTTGCATCGTTTTTCAGATCAGAGGAATTTGACGAGAGCGTAGCATTGAATGCCGATGCGTGTGGAGACGATGAAGTTGAGCTTGAGAAGAGCAACGTGCTGTTGCTCGGTCCTACTGGCTCTGGTTGGTACCGATGCTTTACACAAGATTCCATGCAAGCTCATCTTGATTTTTGCAGGGAAGACATTGTTAGCTAAGTGCTTGGCAAAGTTTGTGAATGTTCCCTTCATAATTGCAGATGCTACGACGCTCACACAGGCAAGATTCAATCAACAAATTTTCTAAGATGCAAGTAAGGAAATTTTGTTTGAGCTTGCTTCATTTATAAAGTATTGGCTCCTTCGTAGGCAGGATATGTTGGAGAAGACGTGGAACCTATCCTTCATAAACTTCTTGTGGTATGTTTGGGGTACTGTTCCAGCAAACCTGGTCGTAAGCTCTTTGTTTCAGCCGAGTTCAACGTAAATGCAGCTCAGCAAGGAATCGTCTACATTGACGAAGTTGACAAAATTACCAAAAAGGTATGATCAAAATCCATTTTTCTTTCTTTCTTTCGGCCTGACTTTTCTCCAGTGCAATCAGAAGGCCTCAACATTGGAAGGGACGTGAGAGGTGAAGGTGTTCAACAAGCACTGCTCAAAATTTTGGAAGGAACACTAAGGAGCTGAAATTCTATTCTCATTGCAAAGACTTCTCAGGTAATCATCTCGTTCAATGAGTGTGTACAGATTGTTAACGTTCCTGAGAAAGGAGCTGGAAAGCATCATCGCAGCGATCACACCCAGGTTTGATGTAGGCTTCAATCTTTCAGCTTTGATTTATTTAACCATGCCTACTTTCAGATTGATACGAAAGAAATCCTTTTTATATGCGGGGGAGCTTTCGTGGATCTGGAGAAAACGATTGCAGAGAGGTTAGCGGTTGCAAAGATTTTCGTTATCATTTTTATCTAAAGCAATATCCTAGGAGACAAGATTCGTCTATCGGTTTTGGGGCACCAGTGAGAGCCAATATAAGAAACAACGGTGGTACAACCAGTGAGACGGTTGCTTCATCTTTTCTTGAAAAGGTTTGGTCCACTTTACGGCTTTAAAATTTAGAGATCTCTGTTTTCCTCTTAAGCAGGTCGAGTGCAGTGACCTTATTTTATATGGATTGAGACCAGAGTTTATTGGACGCTTTCCAGTGATTGTGAACCTTTCCGCTTTGAACGAGGATCAATTTGTCCAGGTTAGTTAAATGACTTATACTTTACAGCATACTTTTTCCTGGGCAGGTTCTCATGACGCCTAAGAACGCATTGGGCAAACAGTACACCAAGCTCTTTGCAATGAACGACGTAAGAGATGTCTCAAAATCAACTCAAGATTGATCATGGCTTGTTCCAATTGGAATCAAGATGAGAGCTCTTTCACTTTGTCGTTTATCAGCACTCATCATCTCACGATCAAAAAGGGAATTTTGGAATTCCGGAACTCAAATCGTGGGTGGGAATGAAATTGCGATCAATGAAGGCTGTTCTATGTGCGCTAAGTAGCGGCGAGAAAACCCACGAGCACGATTTTGCTAAGCAAATCCCAGGATCACGTAAAAGGCACCAAGAACACTAAGAACAGGGGAGGACACCTTTCTGGGCATTCAAATGGAGGGAGGAGTAATTTTCTTACCTGGACGATTCGGTGGTAGGACGTGCAAGCGGAGCAGAGTGGATTCTTGGCGAGGCAAAAACAAGACGGCTCTCAGGGCGATCGAAGCAATTCGAATTCCAGCGATTAAAAGAGATGGATTAATCGTTGGATGCAATGTAATGTGTGTGCTGTGTGGGTGTGTCTTATGTGATATTAATTTCTATCAATCTTGTTCTCAAATGTTTGCCTCCTTCCTTCCTCTTCTTTCCCCGTCAAGCCCGGCTTGGGATTTCGTTTCCTCAAACACCGTCGGATTCTAGTGGCCATCCAACGGCCAATAGCGAAGAGCCTGCCTGGCCGTCTGATGCCGCATCTGACGGCTAGCGATTAACAAGACGTATGTGTTTGTAACCTTTTTGTTTTCCCTAACCCTAAATATAGAGAAATTGGAAATTGTTTGGAATATAGAAAGGGAATACAGAAAATGTGTATATGAATTAACCTAAAAACCCTAGTTTATATACAAGAGTGAGTGGTCCAGATTGAAACCAATCCGACGGCTACCAAAATCCCACTACATTAATATTAGTATATGGCATTGTAGCCGTACACTTGGCCCTCATATCATCCCCTCCTCTCGGAATAATGGAAGACCATCAGGGTTCTCTTGTAGATGGGCCGAGATCTGGAGGAACATTAGAAGGAGGCATCGGTGGATCTGTAGGTGGTATTAACTCTTCTTGATCCCTTTGTATAAAGCGTTTCAGCTGCTGCACATACACAATCTCTGGAGGATCGGCCTGCTGAACGTCATGCTAAACTTCATAAACTTGTGGTCCAACTTGCCACAACACCCGATACGGTTATTTCCACTGCGCAAGAAGTCCCTTAGATAAACCACGTACCGTAAGATAGGGAAAACAAACTAACACCAAATCATCCACTTTGTACTCCGCAGGTGGACGATGATGAGAGTTGTAGCGCCGTTGTTGTCCTACTTATACACGGCTTAAGTGTTCGGCAGACTCTGCTCGGACAAGTGGAAGAATGCTCATCAAATACTGATCCCATGACCTAGTATTGGCAGCTCGCGGCAATCGCGAAGGTAAACCCAGCTCCGTTGGTAATATTAAATCATGACCATATAGGAGTTTATATGGTGAAGCACCAACAGAACTTTGCACCCCTGTGACATATGCATACCGAAGAGACGGCAAATAACCATCCCCAATCCGAATGCTGAAAGTTCACATACTTCGCAATCATCCCTTTGAATGTCCGAATGAGCCGCTCCACCAGACTGTCTGATTGTGGATGATAAGCACTCGTGAAAGTGTGGCGTATCCCCAACCGAGACGTCAAAACATGAAATACCTCGGCCATAAATGCGGGACCATTATCTGAAAGAATCCGCTTTGGACAAGAATGTTGGAACACCACTCGATTGAGGAGGAAGTAGCCAACAGCAATTGCAAAGGCACTAGCAAGAGCACCAACTTCCACCCAACGAGTCAAGTAGTCAGAAGCAATAATAACATACTCATTGCCAGCAGTTGACCGTGGAAAAGGTCCCATAAGATCAAACGCCACCAACTCAAATGGACGGGAAACCGCAATTGACTCCAACCGTCCTTCCACAGCACGAGGGGGAGTATTACGAGCTTGGCACCAAACGCAGCTACGCACATACCAGATAACATCACGTCGCATCTCCGGCCAGTAAAAAAACCTGCGCAGCTTCTCGGTTACACGACGGTGTCCCATATGCCCACCTAGAACAGGAGAATCATGGTAGGCACGGAGAAACCGCGGAATAAAGACAGAAGGCACCACCAGTCGTAAATGATCCTCAGGATCCGTCCCCACAAAATAAGGAAGGCCATTTTCAAG